CCCTTCGCTCTGGTAAGGTGGTAGACAGATAATAGATTCGATCCAAGCTGAGGAACATGTAGGACATCATGGAAGACTACAGCAGGCGCGATAGACCCTCTAATCAACGGCTCGAACACCACAGACCCCATCCCAGCCGAATAGATGACTTGGTTGTTGGCGAGGCGAACAGGGACGATGTGGGGAGAGTAGGAGCGGAACCAGCGACGATGAGGGGTCATGTGTGAAGTAGCGCCTGTATCGGTGTTCCAGTTAGCAGCTGCCGGACTAGAGAGCCAAGAAACGCGCTCAGAAGCAGAGAGAGCGACACTTGCTTTGCCAGCGTACTCCACAGTGTTAGCAGACTCCCCGGGCGTCTCGGACGCCTCCTGCGCGTTCTGGGGCCTCCTAGCACCTCCCTTGCGACGATCGGACCGCTCCTGACGACGCTCAGCAGTCTTGGCCTTCGCAGCCTTGGTAGCCTTCTCCTTGGCGAAGCAAGAGGCCTCAGAGTGGCCCACAGCGTCGCAGAACGAGCAGCGGACGTCAGGAGCGAAGGAGGGACTGCCAGAGGCCTTGAGGGCGAGAGAGGGGGTAGAGGAGAAGCCTCGAGTTGTACGCTGAGTCTCCTCGTTCTGGAACGCGCTCTGGAGCTTCGAGAGGCTGAGGGAGTCGAGCAGAAGCAAGGAGGAGACGAAGTTGTTGTACTCAGCAGGGAGGGAGCGAATGAGAGACATAGAAGCAAGTTCCTCGTCCAGCTGCTCAATGGTGAAGTCCTTGGGGCGAAGGGAGCGGATATCCTGCATAGCCTTGTCCGCTCTGGCCGTCAGAGAGACCAGGGACTCGCCCTCATCCTTCCTCAAGCCCAGGAGAACATCATAAGCGTTGAAACGCGCACCAGGCTTCTGCTGAACATGAACCTCCCTCAACGTCTCCCACATCTTCAACGGATCCGTCTTCACCTCCTTCACATGCGCCAACCATATCTCTCCAGCAGCTCTCCCCTTTCACGCCTCCCACTTCCTCTGCTCCCTCTTGTCTTCGATGGTGGGCGTAGTCTCCGAGTAGAGCTCAGGAGCGGCTGTAGGGTTGCTAGTAACGTCCCAGAGATCAAGAGTCTTGAGATAGGCCTACATATCATCAGCCCAGGAGCGATAGTTCCTCTCCCCAAGAGCAGGGAAGGTCCTCTTGGCTTGAGACATTGCTGAGCGACAAAAAGAGCGATGAGAGGTGATGAGACGGCGATGGGAGCGATAGGGAGCGATGAGCAGCCTAAGAGCGAAGCAAAGACCAGCAGAGACAGTCTAGGGGCAGTAGAGAGGAGTTGGGAATGAGATGAGAGGAAGATGGAGTTGTAGGAGCGAGTGGGCGCGAGATGGGACGTGCAGGGGCTGTCTAGGGCGGAAATGCGCGACGAACAAGCCTAGGACGACGACAGGGACCGATAGGAACGATCTGGAGAGCGCAGGAGACAAATGTGCGATAGAGAGCAGATGCAGGGCTGGACAGGCTGAGATCTTGGTCTGATCAGAGTAGGAGCGCTGCAGAGGCTGTAGGACGGGCGAAAAGTGCGATCTGGAGCCTCTAAAGCGTTGGGCTCATAACCTGTCCAACTGGGAAGCTGGCAGGCGTCCAGATACACACAAAGATGCCTGAGTCAAGCTCTATTAATGCTAAGAAGTACAGAAATATACAGAGGGACATACCTGAGTCAAGCTCTATTAATGCTAAGGAAGAGAGCTTGACTCAGGAGCGCATTTTCGCTCTTCTGGGAGCGTGGGAACCAACTGTACAGTATGGGAAATGGAAGGGAAAAGCGCAGAGTTAAAGAGGCTAAGTCACCAGGGTAAAGGAAGCCAAAATAGCAAAGTGGTTACCACCACTAGCAGTGATGCATACCTGGAGGTTTTGGTTCAATCCCCAGTCAGTGCACTTTTTACCTCCAATAGTAGGTGCTTTGGCTGTCCCGGGGTGGTATGATATAGGTGTTTTTGAGGAGGACTGGTGCCAAGTCACCATGGGTGGTCTGGGTGGGCCCAAAAATAATGCACATGGTGGTGGATGCGAATATACACTAAGGGAAGCTTCTTATAACCTATAGTGACACAAGTGGTAGCCATGGGAAGTCCGTAGGAGGAGTATTACCCAAAAGTGGTAGTTAGTCACCTGTTGCTCAGAATCTCTTGGCGTCTTATGCAAACATGTAGCCTTATATGGGCTGAGTAGGACCGCCAAATGCCCAGCAATGTGGCATAGCAGTAGTGTGGGAAAATGCGAAAAACTGTCCCAGAGCCAGCGGTGAAAAATAAATTTTGTACAGCAATGCACAGCCCATGGTACCTACACATAATTAGAACAAGCACTCCCTATTCCTATGCACTATTTTAACTGCTACATTAGTAACAACATCTACAGTAAGGACAAATAAACCCCAGATATCGAAAGAGGTTAAAATGTAGATCCTGGAGGTATCCCATACCAATTGCTGCCATATTTGGCATGTGCTGATGTAATATAGTGATGCCACATGTGTGCCGTCATCCACAGCAGGTTCCATGATTTTTCCCAGATTTATGTGTATTTTTCCTGATTTTATATGAGCTGCTAATGGCTGATATATGTGCTCTAGACACATTCACACACCATGCATAGCTCCGGCACCATGATGCCTGTCCCGAAAATATATTGTGATTTTTCCATATTTGTTCCATATTTTTCTGGGCCTGCAGGGCCAGGTATGGCCACCTACCTATTATTGGCAACAGCTCAGATCAAATCCCGATTTGGATCTGTTGAGATCTGATGACTTGGTCACTCTTTGTTGACTGAGTGGCTCATGGAATGGCCTAGGCGCTTCTAGGCCGAGTTACCTTGTTGTGAGCCACTCCCTTTGTTGTGAGCCACTCCCTTTGTATTCCTTGTATTCCTTGTTATCCTTGTTCTTCTTTGTATTTCGATGTTCCCTTGTTCTGTCCTTGTTCTTTGATGCCCTTGTATTCTACAGTATATAAGGGCTCCCTAGGTCGCTCTGTGTCCCCCAGTCTTGACACAGTTTGACCTAGGTGAGTCTGCCACTTGTATTCCTTATGCCAGAATACAGTCTTGACACAGTTTGACCTAGCCCTTGGGTGTTGTCTGAAGCTAGTATCTTCCACTGCCAACAGGTTATGAGCCCAAGGCTCTAGATCTTCAGACACCCATCTCTTCCAGTCCTTCACTGTTGTCCTTGTGCCACTGA